TTCTCTATCTTTTAACCTTGTCAAAATCATTCCTGAGGTTAGAGCTGAGCACTTCACAGGTAATTTAATATTCTACTACACATCATTTGTAATAAATGCTTAGGATCTCCCTATTATTGGCACATTTTCAACATTTCATTATTTCCAGATTGCCATTAGAAATAATGCTATAATGAGCATTTTTTTACATAAATCTTTGTCTATATCTCTGATTATAACTTGGGATATAATCCTAAGGGTATATTTTCTAGCTTAAAGAATATAAACATTTTTAAGGCTCTTGAAATGCATTACCAAATTGCTTTCCAGAATGGCTCTGCTTAGACTTCACCAACAGTGTACAGGAATGCCCTCATCCCAAATCCCTGCCAGTATTAAGTATAATTTTGTGTTATATATTTACTGACATGATATGGGAAAACATCCCCTCATTTTGCTTTAGCTTGCATTTTTACCATTAATAAGATGGAATATTATTTCAAGCTTATTCATTTATATTTTTCCTATAAATTATCAGTATACTCAATGTTATTAATTGTATTTACAAATAATTATACCTCAGATATGTTAACTGACAGATTATGCTAGAAAGAAAGAAAATGAAGTGGGGAAAAATTTTTATTTGAAACAATAATTTTAGTATTTAAAGTACTTTGAAATTTCAAGCACTACTAAACAAAGGAGAAATTTTTGTTATTTAAAACTGGAACATTGGATTTTAGAAGATTGAGAAGCTTTGCTGCAGTTTGTAAATCATAATTGCCCTGGAACTTTGGATTCTAGACTTAATTTCCTCAAGTTTGCTAGGCACTCATGGCCTCAGTGGCCAGATAATTAATGACTGTCACAAAGGGGACTGGCTTTCAGACCTGCTTTGCACTTTGGAGTGAACCTCAGACACCCATCTTGGTGATCTGCAAGGCGTCCTGAGAAAATGAACACAAGACTGATTTTGCTCTCACCCAATTCAACATGCAATTCACCGTTTCCAATGTAGCAAGAGCGGTCTTGCTGGTGAGGAATGAAGACTTGCTCCAGGGCACAAGCACATTTGTGGACCTTACTTGACAAGCCCTCCCTTGAGGAGTGGTTTCTGGGCAGCTTTAATTAACAAGCGCAGAAGCTGAGGGGAGAACCTGTGTGTACCATTGAAGATACTGGCTTTATGAACCACTGCTGTTGGCTGAACCCAGCTCTGCATGTTTTCAGCCTGGAAGGTCTGGGGCAACCAAAAGCAAGTGATGGGGTGGTCTCACTGAAATATTTATAGTCCTAATGATACCAGGACTTATAAACCACTTGCCACAGGGACAGAGGCTGAGAAGAACAGTATTTGGTTTTTAACAAGAATTGATACCTAAATTTATTATTTCACTTACTCCCTCTACTTCATTTGCTTAATTTTTTCTATGTATTTATTTAGTACTTTTTTAAAAAAAATTCTAGATTTATAGATATTTATATTTGCACATAAAATGAAAATGTGGTCTTTGTACAGAATTAAGTGACAAGAGACTACTATAAAAATTAGACCTCCAGGACACTCAGACCCACCCAAACCCCAGAAGTAAATAACACCTAAAAAATGTCTGCCTTCATTCTACTTGGCCAGACTTTTGGTTCTCATTCGGTTCTCTTTGATGTTTCTGTTCTTGTAGGACATGGTATGTCAACTGCCCAGGCCTCAACTAATGCTAACAGTCAAAATGGGGGATGATTCAATGGCTGCACCATTGGCACAGAGTCGACAGTGTCTTAGTCTATTCAGGCTGCTATAAAAAACTGCTATCGATGGGGTGGCTTATAACAAACAAAAATTTGTTTCTCAAAGTTATGGATACTAAGAAGTCCAATATCAAGGTGCTGGTAGGTTCAGAGTCTGGTGAAGACCTGCTTCTGGCTTCATCAATAGCCATCTTTTTGCTACGTCCTCACATGACAGAAGGGACAAGCTAGCTTTCTGGGGTCACTTTTATAAGAGTACAATTCCATTCAAAAGGACTTACCCTTGTAATCTAATCAGCTCCCAAGGCTTTACCTCCTAATGCCATCCTACTGGGGGTTAGGATTTCAACATATGAATTTTGGGAGAACACAAACATTCAGTCTTTAGCAGCTAGATAATCATAAGTAAAAAGTTTTCTTAAACACTTGGTGGCATTGCCACTTTTCCCTTCAAAAATAGTTACCAATTCAAGAATTCCTAAGTCCATCTATACCTAAATAGAGCATCTGTGTTTGGTTAAAAATGAACACAGAAACTGCGAGGCAAAATGCCTATTTTGATTGCTCTACTTCCCTGTGCTCACCTCCAGAGCCCCAACTCCATCCAGAAAGTGGGTTTCCCAGAAGCACTTTTCTAAAATGGAAGTTAAAGCAGTGCCACCTTTGGATATGTGAGGTAGAAAAATGCCTGGAGAAGAAGGAAGAATAGAGAACTGACTAGCATTTTGAAAGGAAAAACACTGCTTTTCTACCTGCAGGCAGAATTAGTATAGGTATAGAGAAGTGAACATTTCATACATTGTAATAAAAAAATTGCTATGAGAAATTTTCAGAATATGTATCAAAATTTTAAGTGGGCATGAATTTCAGACAAGAAATTCTATTTGGAAATTTAAGGAAATAATAATGGGTCTGTTCAAAGATTACACTATTTATTTTAAATGGAGGATTGGCTAAATTACCCATACATCCACATAGTGCAGTACTTGGTGGGAAGTTAAAAGTTACTGTGGGAAGAACATTTAATGACAAGAAAAAAATGTCGATATATATCCTTAAAGAGAAATAAGTTTAAAAATGTAAACAGTATGAATATGATCAAATGTTTGTTTCAAAGTACCCCTATAACTGTGGGAAAAGATGGGAAAATATTATGCTTCTCTGTCCATCCATATTTTCTGTACTCTTGTTTTTTATATTTTTCTACAAAGAATGTGTATTATTTGTATAATAGGAGGAAAAACAGGCAACATAATTATTTTTTAAACACAAGGCTCCATTTCTTCTTAGGTGCTTGAAAAAGAACTGGTAATGTGACTTTAAATTAAAAAGGGTACAGAGTTCTCCCTCCGCCTGCTGATATGTTAATAATTCCTGAAGTAGGGCAGTGTCCAGACCTGTTGGAGGTTCTGCTCCTGTTTCTAAGGAGAAGCTCAACTACCTGCAGTTGGCCTCAGTGGGGCCCAGAACCAGGGTCTCGAGAGTGGACCACCAGGGGGCGCTCGCGTCCCCACCACAGACCCTGTGATGCGCCTCTCCCTATCTCCTTTCTTCCTTTCCCACATCCCTTCCATTCAGCCTAACCTCAAGCACACTCACATGTGCACACGCGTACGTGCGTGCACACGCATGCGCACATGCATGTGCAGTTCTCTGGCTGTATGGAAAGTGGCCATTTGGAAGCCCGCCGTGGGACAGAGGAAGAAGCATAGGAAGGGCGTGGGCGCCCATTCCACCCCTGTCATTTATTCCTGGGCCCAGGCAAATGGGCAGACTTCTCTAGGCCCACGCTCCCTCCTTCGGAAGGTGTAGATTGTAGGGTTAGTGTCGTGAAATTTAAAGACAGCAAAACAAAGGACAAGTTATCCAAGAGGTGTTTTTGAAAGGACCTTTCAGCAGAGGCTAAGAAAGCATGAAAACTGTACGTCTTATCTCCCCGACCTTAAAACACTCACCCAATCTCATAAGGAGATTCAGTCAATGACAGACCTGTGGTCCCGTAAGATTATAATGGAGCTGAACGATTCCTATTGCCTAATGACGTCGGAGCCATCCTAATGCCATAGAGCAGCATTACTCACGTGTTTGCAGGGATGCCGGTGTAAACGAACCTACTGCACTGCCAGTCATATAAAAGTACAGCAGCTACTATTATGTACAGTACATAGTACAGGATGATGATCATGATAATGACTATGTTACTGGTTTCTGTATATTATACTATTAACAATTTTTAATATTTTAGACTGCATTCCTTCTACTTATAAAAAAAAGTTAGCATAAAACAGCCTCAGGTAAATCCTTCAGGCGGTTTCCAGAAGGAGGCATTGTTAACACAGGAGGTGACAGCTCCATGCCTGTTATTGCCCCTGAAGACCTTCCAATGGGACAACATGTGGAGGTGGAAGACAGTGATCTTGATGATCCTGACCCCATGTAAGCCTAGGCTAATGTGCATCTTTGTGTCTTCACTTTTAACAAAAAGTCTAAAGTGTAAAAAATAAAATAAAAAAGTTTTAAAATAGAAAAAAAGCTCATAGAATGATATACAGAAAGAAAATATTTTTGGACACCTGTACAATGTGCTTGTGACTTAAGCTAAGTGTTATTATAAAACAGTGGAAAAGTTTTAAAGAAATTAATGTTTATAAAGTGAAAATAGATATAGTTGGCTAAGGTTAATTTATTATTAAAGAAAAAATATTTTTTATAAATTTAGTGTAGCCTAAGTGTACAATATTTACAAAGCCTGTAGTAGTGTACAGGAATGTCCTAGGCCTTCACATTCACTCACCACGCTCTCACTGACTTACCCAGAGCAACTTCTAGTCCTGCAGGATCCAGTCTTCAAAATGCAGATATACCATTTTTTAAATTCTTTTCTATTATACTTTTACTTACTGTACCTTTTTAATATTTATATATGTTTAGATACATGAATATTTACCATTTTGTTAAAATTGCCATGGTTTGTAGCCCAGGAATAATAGGCTATACCAGGTAGCCTAGATGTGTAGCAGGTTATACCATCTAATTTGGCATAAGTGTAAGTTGTGTAAGTGTATGCTCTGTGATGTTCACACAATGAAATCACCTAGCAATGCATTTTTCAAAACATATCCCTGTTGTTAAGTGATATGACTGTATAAGGAAAAATTAGACCCATCAATAAGAATCCTTTATGTATGATCAAAGCAAATGTAAGGGTCAGAACAGAGAAAACATTTAGGTGAAATAATATTGATTAGATTTTTTTGTATATTTTCTTCATGTAGTTTTGCTGGTGACTGGAATACATTCAAATAAAGAAACGACAAAGAAGATTAAAAGGCTCAAATTCAGTAAGTAAAATTGCAATTCCTCATCGGTAGAAGGCTTGTTTTTCCCTCTCCCATGTGGAGGGTTGTTACACTTATTTTAGATAATATGGAAGGTGGTTTTTTGTTTTGCTCTATTTTGTTTGTCTCTATCTCAATTACTTTCCACTCAGACTAATTAATAATGAGTCTTATTCATCACCTACCACATTCCAAAAAGTATTTGAGATAGGAGTCATGATTTTAGGGTAAAAGGAACATGGTTCCACTGTGCTAGAAAAATTTGAAATGCACACACAAAGACCAGGCAACACTATGTCTCTGTGGCCAAGCTGAATAGGCGTGCCGTTGACACGCTATCTCAATTTCCCGTGCCAGAAAATTCAATCTGGCTAATGCAGCTACGTGCAGCAAACTTGCGCATCTTTTAGCATGCTCTGGAATCAGAAGGTAAGTCTTAAAGAGGAGCCCATGAGATTTCACACCTTATCATCAAAGGAAAGAAGAAAAATAATTTTCACTTTTGGGTGGTATATTGGTTAAGATTAAATGACAGAGGCCGGGTGCAGTGGCTCATGCCTGTAATCCTGGCACTCTGGGAGGCCTAAGTGGGCAGATTGCTCGAGGTCAGGAGTTCGAAACCAGCCTGAGCAAGAGTGAGACCCCGTCTCTACTATAAATAGAAAGAAATTAATTGGCCAACTAATATACATAGAAAATATTAGCCGGGCATGGTGGCACATGCCGGTAGTCCCAGCTACTTGGGAGGCTGAGGCAGAAGGGTTGCTTGAGCCCAGGAGTTTGAGGTTGCTGTGAGCTAGGCTGATGCCATGGCACTCACTCTAGCCTGGGCAACAAAGCCAGACTCTGTCTCAAAAAAAAAAAAAAAAAAGATTAAATGACAGAAAATCCAAAACAATAGTCATTTACATAAAACTAAAGTTTCTTTCTCACTCCTGTAAACATAGTCAGTTTGGGCTTTTATGGAAACCTCACAAACTTCAGGGACACAGACAGGATTCTGTCTTATAATTCTGCCATTCTTAATGTGGCTCCCTACTCATTGTTCCCAATGGCTGCCCCAGCTCCATCCATCATATCTCCATTCCAGTCAGGAGGAAGGCATATACTAGCTCCCTTTAAAGACACATCCAGAAAGTTGAATACATCCCTTCTACTTAAATGCCATTGGCCAGCAGTTAAGGTAGAGTGGAAAATGTCTTGAGTTCAAACATCCACATGCCTTGTCAAAAGTAATGGATCCTATTACTGGGAAAGAAAGGAGAAATGGATATTGGGAAATAACTAGCAGGACAGGACACAGATGGAAAATCTCCTACTTAATGTGAGCACACAGGGGTATCTGGATCCAAATTTACAGGCTTGATAGAAGCTTGAGTTAAGGTGTGTTTATCAAGAACCGTAAAAGGAAGCCTTTAGATATAGTCAATGTTCTGTGCTCTCGACAACTGAAACTTTCTTTATAGGCATTAAATGTAGGTGCCTTGAAATCAGCAATATTAATCATTTGAAATAAAAGAAAAAGATTGGCTTCACACAACCACCGTTTTTCCTTCTGCTCCTTTAAACCATCCATGTGAGATTTCCTGTTGAAATGAGACCAAAAGGGCAACCATCCACAGCCTCCTAGGCTGAAATACTAAAAAGGAATCTGTTGTTTATTTATTTCTGTCAGAACCAAGAGCCAAGAGGACCGGCCCTGGGGCAGATGTGTGTTCAAAACAGTGATTGGGTTAATATGGAGACCAACTGCACACCCAAGTATGAATTCCTTTGGGCTGTTTCCAGTATCTTCATTAACTCATATACAAAAATCATGAAAGGTTGCATGATTACCATGACAACAGTTTGCAGTGACTACGAAAGTCTGTGCTAAATGACCCAAGGGCAAACCTCTTTGAGAGATCTCAGATGGATTGAATTTCTGATATGCTAAATTTCTAGCCTTATTCTTAAAATCTCCCTAGTGATGTAGCACATTTGAGTCAATAAATGCATGAGGTCTTTTCGCTAATTAGAAACTCTGGCACAATCATTAAATAAGGGGAAAAAAAGATACTATGAAGGTAATTGGATATTCCCAAACCATGGAGCTATCTGATTCTTGACCTCAAGAGTATTTCTAAATCATAGTCTATAGCTTGAGGCCAAAGTAATTTTCATTTTTCTATTCAGTATTGTCAGTCTGCTGCTGGGGAGGTGACTGATTGAAAGGAAGGCCCGTCATTCATTCATTTGACAAGTATTTATTGAGTGTGGGCCATGTACCAGGCACTGTTAGACACCCAGATACAAGAGTGATTGAGGCTTGGTCTATGCCCTCACAGAGCTCAATCTGGGGAGGAAGAAAGACAAGTCAACAGGCAATTATAATGTCCTATGTAAGTGCTAGGATGAAGGGAGCTAAAGGTACTCCAAAGGTATGGGGAATAAGCTGTGTATCTGGGAGGACTTCCTGGAGGAAATGACACATCTATACTAATTCTGAAGGCCAATAGGGATTGGCCAGGCAAAGATGGGGAGAAAAAGAGTGTTATAAATAGAGAGAACATGCTCATGGCCTGAAGAGTAGAAAGAGCTAAAAAGTCGTTCAACATGGCTGAAATACAGAGTAGGAGGTGTACGTGTTGAGGTCAAAAATGAAGGCACCAGATGGTGAAGGGCTTTACTGCTGTGTCCAGGGATCTGGACTTCATCACAAGAGCAGTGGGGAGTATCTCGGTGTGGGTTATTTTGGTTGCAATTAGCAGAAATCCAAAGCCAATTTGCTTAAGCACAAAAGGGGATTTGGGCAGCACAGGAAGTAGCTTGCAAATCTCAAGGCAAGAGGGCAACTGGAACTCCCTGGGGCTAGACCCCAGATGGAAAGGCCCCGGGAACCAGCACCTCGGCTTCTCTTTGCACATCCACCTGTCTGTCTGTCTATGTCTGTCTGTCTTTCTCTTTCTGCAGACCATGTCTCTCAGTCCTGATCCTGGGAGAAAGAATCTGACTGCATGAGCATTGGCTGGCAGGAGTCCACCCCTACAGTGGGAGCAAAGGGTTAGGGTTGTACTAGGGAAATGAAACAATCCTGCCAACAACAAACCCTCCTTTGCACCAATATATGAAGAGAGAAGAGAGGGAACACAATTTGTTAGTGAATAAGCACTACAGATTTATCTGCATACATAGGTAGCATGCAAGTGTGTACCAAGCCTGGACAGAATTTCACACGAATTTCTGTAGTAAAGTGGAAGACAGGCAATGACAACTTGTCTTCTTGAGCGATAAATGGATGCACCTCGTGTTTGTCTCCTGAACACCTGGAGACCCCTGAGCTCATTCTGGAAGTAAATGTTCATCCAAGGGTCAGGAGGCCAAAGACCTTGCATTGCCCCAAGATGAGATGTTCCTCTCCACTAAACAAAAATAAAAAGCTTGACCATCTTACCATTACAGTTCATGCCTCAAAATACATCTTACAGGGAGCTGAAAAATTTTAAACAGAGAGAGAAACTATAAAGGCAAGAAAGTGGACTAGGTCCGTGGTTCTCTCAGGGTGACTCTGGGACCCGCAGTCCAGCATCACCTGGGAACTTTTGTCCCACCCGGCTCCCCAGAGCTGATGGGTCAGAAACTCCAGGGGTGGGGCCCAGCAATCTGTGTTTTAACAAGCTCTTCAGGTAATTCTGATGCCTCAGAAAATTTGAGAACCAGTGAACTAGAGCGAGGACCCTCATCAGGGCTGCTTACCGCTATGAATGTGAAATCATTTAGGTGGGTTCTCTTCGGTTCTCTTCTAACCTCTCTTCTGACAGCCCTCAAATTTCACCAGTGTTTTGTCAAGACTAAAGGTCTTCACAACCCAAAGGTCTAAAGTAAAATAACGAGGAGGAGGTAATGTGGTGTGTTGGTCAGTGAGCCATTTCCTGGCTCCTGCTGTACGTGTGGCCCTGTACTAGACTCTCGAGGATCTGGTGCCCAAGGTGTGGGGCCACTAGCTGGCAGAGCCAGATTTGAAGCTCACGTCTGGGTGTGGGTCAACCCCAGAGCTTTTCCTAGCTACCTCCTCCCAAGCTAGGTAGGACTATGGGAGGAGGTATCTAGTGCCTGGGGGCAGGTGAGGGTGTTTAATGATCAAGGGGTGACCAAATAGAAAGCGGAAGAGTTATGGAGCAAACAGAAAAAGGGGACGAGCATAAATGTCTTCCACTGGCCTGGCCTGAGGACCCCTGAGGGTTACCACTGCTCTCGGTGGTAGTTATCACTTTCTCTGCTCACTACATTTCCTCCTTTTTCATTTCTTATCCCTCTCATCCCCATTTCCTTCTTTGTGTTTCTTTGGTCTGCCCATGGCCCCCAATTGTCTTCATGGACATTGCTCAGCTCCATAGAGGCCTTTTGAACCAAAAGGGTAGTAAGTACCTAAGAGCATGTTAAAAATAATCCAGCATGGGGGTTTTACAAAGGAGAAAAGCAAAGATGAAAAAAGCAATTGGATGGATTCTTACAGCTCTATTCCCCAAACCCGTACTCGAATATTCATTTCAAGCTGATATTTTGCTATCATGTGCACAGTCGTATTGGGTACAGTTTTGTTCCACCGTATTTGACTTATCACATTATTTTCGAAATTAAATTAAGTCTGACTCCAAACTGTCAATCGCTGCAGGGCAGGGGTGAATTTCAAATTCCATAATTATAGGGGTTCTCTCCTTCCCTGCTCTACCCCCTGGAAGGCTTGTGAAATCTAGAAGATTCGGGCAGGTCCACTGAGCTGCTCAGTGTCCAAGCCCGTGTGATCTCTGGAGGCTGGGCAGCTCCACTTTCCTTGGGATTTTAGCAGAGGTGGGGCAACCCCAAACCTAAGTCTCCACACTGACGTGCATCACAGCAGGTGATTCTGGTGTGGTGCTCCTGTAAGGCAGCTGCTAGGAAACGGGAACATTCCCTACTGGAACTCACCTGCCCACTCCCACCTTCCCAGTCGTACAAAATCATTTTTTTTTTCCTCATCACTC